CGGTTGTCTTCTGTCTTTGGCCCGAAAAAGAAGTTCCTTCATAAGACTGTAACCAAAACTGAAGGATTTTTGAAAACAGGTGCCAGCTTCCCTAAATGATCGATTCGTCATCCGATTCTGCGTTTGCGCTGAGAACGCCTCTGAGAATGATATCGACACTGCTTACAGTATAATTAGCCAGACCGCACAGCACATCCTACGTAAGTACTGCACTTATGTCGAATTTGTTGAAGTGATGATACTTAAGACAATGCCATACTCCGCGATGACGCGCCTTCGACGCGCGTTATCGCGAAGTCTGAACGGTCTTATTGCCACTTCCTCGTTGACTGTTAAGGGAAGAGGTGGGATGGTGGCGTTAAAAGCAACGGCCACCATCCCACCTCTTGCTCTTTGTGGCATTCAGCACGGACAAGATAGAAGGCATTCGTTGGAGAATTTTCATTCCTGAGAGATCCTTATCGGTCGGGAGAAGGTGACTATATTTGACCTCAAGAAAAGTTTTTCCGAGTGGCGAAAAAGAAATTTGGTTACTGATGTTTCCCGTTTCTCGCGCGTTCTCCTCTGGTTTAGCAGAATGCAGAACTTCTACATAACTTCTAATTGTGGATAGCTGATCCGAGAGACCGCGTTCCCCACTCGCTCATCACGAGTTTTTTGAGAATATTTGAAAGAATTTTTTGCAAGTTTGTTAAGTTGACCGGAAGAATTTGGCAAAATGGCGGGTAGGATGGCAGGGGGGTTACACCAGAGAAGGAAACTTCGGGAAGGTGAAACTGGAAGAGGAGGTTTCGTAGGAGGGAGGGTGGGGAGTCGTACTGACACCGCCATGTACCCCGTTCCGATGCTCTACCCTCACCGTGACATAGTTTATTTAGAGGCAAGTCCCGCGATGAGCCAAGAAATGATCCTTAGATCTTGCGAGTGGTAGTAATGCAACTTGTCACCATCAAGTACTTGTCATTGATAAAGCTGAGACATTTGGCAACAATCTTATTTGTAAATGTTATAGATGAGGGAACCGCCCTTCCAATCGTAGAGGATAAAGAGGCTGAACAGCTGGAGGAAATGGGTATTGATGCTGACGCCTCTAGTCGAGTAAGTGTCATCATACTTCATCGATTCTCTTTGAAAGCTAATGACAGCACTGTTTAAGATCGAAGCGGATGTGGCTAGGGATTCTCAGCTATCGAAGGAGGAGATGATCGCTCAGAAACGGAACGAAACTCTTGCGAAAAGGCGGTTGGTGCTTTGTTGAAGGATATTATCAGTCTGTAGGGAAAGTACATGACCGACACATAGCCAAGGGGATTCTTTTACACGAACCTTAGGCTCGTAGAAATCGGAATCTGAGCAACATCCAAGGAAAATGTGCCAATGGTCTTTGAGCCTTTCCTCTTTGGCATCTGGGATGTGGGTAGAGGGAAGGGGTAGTTTCGAAGGAAATTTTCCTCACCGCAATGATGATGTCCTGGTTTGAGTAATCTAGGAACCCGGCAGTTGGAGTATACTGGCTTACTAACCAGACTTTACTCTCATCCCTATTTCCTTCAGATTTATTCCGGCTCTTCCCACCTCTTGTAACTTCTGAGTTGTATCAGCATTTTATCGCTCGCCCATCCAGTCAGTTCCTATCATTATTTTCATTAGCTACTCTAATCAACTTAATAGTAATTTTTGCTGGTTAGGCTTGACTGGACTCCGTATTTTCCTCAACTATTTTCATATTCTCCTTCACTTTTTTTACTCCTGAATTGTTCCAACAGTTATCGTCCACACTGGTAGTTTGCAATGCTATCATCAGTATGTGCGTGCATTATTAATGACTCGGAGGAAGTTTTCTTGGAAGACCCTTTGCGTACTGTGAACATTCCCACAGTGCTGTAACGAAGTTCGAGTCTCTGATCGAATAACTGGGTCTACTACTTAAACACGCCTCGCGGACATGGTGTCGTATTGGACGTGGGAGGAGCCAACCTAATCCCGTCATTAGTATAGATCTTGTCAGCATTCTTCAGTCCCTTATAACACGTGTGTCCGGGTTCAGGGGACAATCTCCCGTTCCATTTTGCCAGAAAATGGGCTTACGGAAAGGTGGTCGTCGCAGGATAAGTAGCTAAATATGAACGATCACAAATAGAATTGTTCTACGGTCGTCTGGCATGAGTGGGGGGGGAGAGGAGGGACTGAGGGGAAACAGGCGCGAAACGGGAAAAATTGATCGGAAAACTTTTTCTCAAACCAAACACGCCGGCTTTCCCCAACGACTGAGTAAGACCCCACTCCCATGAGATTCTCCCACAGATGTTGTACTCTATACCTATACTTTAATTCTGCTATTTCTGTGATGCTAAATCATCATTGTGCTCATCATTTCACTGAGTGCTGGTACCAAACGCACACATACTTACAGTCATGATCCCTGCAAACGATAGGGCGCGTCACGAGGCGTAGATTGGAGCGCTGATAGGGCTGCCTTACCATCAATGGTGCCATTTTTGAGCCCACAACAGAGGGCGGGAAGGGCTTTCCTGGCTGCGAACCAACTCACGCCCCTTACCACGCCCTAAGTTTGCAGGATTCAGGATATACTCCCTCAACTTCACGATCATTATTTGAGATCTTTCCTCGTGCGAATGGTATCGGATCCTAAGTGCTACAACCCGAAAATCGTTCGCCATCTGAATATGGCCAATCATCGGAAAATGAGCCAAGATGTCTATCGCGATCGAACCCTCATGTAGGTGCTTTTTTCATAGAAACGTACTCTTTCTTATGCTTTACCATATAGTTTTAGGCAGACCATTTCCCATAGTCAACGTCCGGGTCTCCTTTCTCATTCACCGGGTTCTGGTGGAAGTGGTTGTGAGTTTTGCGTTTTCAAACTTTGGTTGTTTCATTTATTTGTTTGTTTTTGTTAACTAGTTACTAACTGGATGAAATTATTCAGCGATGTCGACAAACTTCAACTACGATGATGATTGCGAAAATATGACCGTCGCTCTCTCTCAGACTGGTCTACAAACGCCGCTCTAATGAAATGTGACGCCAAAAATTCCTGTGTTGTACAATCCTTCTCATAACGATAACTTATCACTACTTATCATTTCTAGCTTTCGGATCATTAACAACTGAAAATTGTTATCTACTGAAGAGTTTCAGGTGCTAACATAGTTGGGCCGGAGGGGGGGGGGGTAGCTAGGGCAGCGCCACTAAGTCTGCTTGTTTGCACCCTCTCACTGATCCAGGGGTGAAGTCTGGGACATATGAGACGCGACATTCCGCAGAAAGCAGAAGAGGATTTCATAGCTAGTCAGTTCAACACCTCGAGGCGCTGAACCTCTGCAACATAGAAACAGCTGGTGCGAATGCCGCGCACGTGATTCCGTTTGCGATGCATCCTTGCCATGGCTACACCCCTTCCATTCCCTAGCTCAGAAGAGAGCTCAGACAACCAGAGTGAACGCGACTTCATTCTCCTTCAACTATGTTAGCGCCAAGTTTTGCAGTAGTGTGATGATTTCGTTTCTGAGGCTTTTGTCCTTGACCAGCCTCAATTGCCGTTTATACCGAAATTAATTACTGGATGGATTTTTTATCAATTCTTTAGATGATTATATAAGAGTGAGAGGTTTAGTAAATAACTAGTATATATTTT